TACAAAAGAGGTTGGCATGTGTTGTAATATAGTTGCTGCCTGCAGATTGATGAAACTGGCAAAGTGGTAGCTGATCTCACTGCTGACTTGAGAAAATTAGGGCACGGGCCCGTACAAACGTGGACAGGGATTATGGATGATGCAGGGTTCTTGGGGGGCATCTTCCGGAACTGGAAGCAAGCCGCCTTTATGGCAGGCAGCATCTTCTTAGGCCTCCTACTACTACCCTGTTTTATCCCTGTCATCCGAAGTATAATCCAGTCCACAGTGGAGGGCATGATGCAGAAAAGGAGTATCAACATGGCTTTAACAGGCCTTGATATGCAGCAACAAAAAGCACTGTTGACAACTCTGGTAGATGAAGAGGAAGAGTCTTTTTGACAAAAAGAAAATAAAAAAGTAGGAGATGTTGTAATATAGTTCCTTGTGTAGGTGTGTGTCCCCCATGGCCCAGTTCATACTAGGGCTTGCAGAGTCACGCTGAACCACACAGGAGAAAACAAACTCCTAGAACGCCATAACATCCTGATAGTGCATAACATAACATTCTGAGATGTGCCCTACCATTGACGTCCAGGATTTGACCATATGTAGACTGAGCAGTAGATTAGAAATTGTACTTTTACAGGCTGTTTTTACTCACATGCTGATTGCTCCTCCTGCCTTTGTCCTATCTCAATAAAAGGGGCTCTCAGACTCCAATCTGGGTCGCTCCATCCCGAGAAAGGTTGTCTCCTGTCTGTTCTCAACATTGGCCTTATGGGCGAACCATGGGAACGTTACAGGCATGCACGCGTGGGAATCCTTTTAGCTAATCAAACAGAACTGAGATACCAGTAGCTGCCCTATTTGATACTGTGGTTTGTAGGGATCCTTGTGGTTCCTTACAGCAAAGCATCTTTTAAAAGCTGTGCGCAGCTTTTCACATGCTTGATTCTTCTGAATATCTCTTGAAGACATCCAAAGAGGACCGATACACTACACAGGTAGTCCTCGGCTTACAACCGTTCATTTCGTGACCGTTCAAAGTTACAACGGCACGGGGGGGGGGGGAAAGGTGACTTACATCCATTTTTTTCTGTTTCTTTTGCAGCATCCCCATGATCGTGTGATCAAAACTCAGATGCCTGCCAACTGATTCATACTTATAACCGTTGAAGCATCCATGGCTCATGTGATCACTCCTTGCAACCTTCTGACCAGCTCAATGGAGAAGCCCACTGTGTTATTAATTTACCAACTGCAGTGATTCCCTTAACAACGGTAACAAAAAAGGTTGTAAAATGGGGCAAAATTCATTTAACAAATGTCTCAGCAACAAAAGTTTGGGCTCAATTGTGGTCAGAAGTTGAGGACTACCTGTATCCTGTGCTATAAAATTCTAATTACCTGTACTAAATAATTATGGGTTCAGGAAGTAATTTATTTTTGAGTTTTAACTGTCCTATTTTTAACCTCTTCTATATACGGCATCTTTTTTAAGACTATAAGAACAATCCTTAAATACCCATTTAACTTACTTAAAGTGTTAAAAGCACTACAAAAAAGAAGTATTTTTCCCTCTGTAATACAGGTAGTCCTTGACTTACAACAGTTCACTTAGCGACCGTTCAAAGTTACAATGGCACTGAAAAAAGTGACTATGACCATTTTTCACACTTATGACTGTTGCAGCATCCCTATGATCATGTAATTTACATTCAGATGCTTGATAACTGACGCAAATTGATGACGGTTGCAGCATCCCCAAATCATATGATCCCCTTTTGCGCCCTTCTGATAAGCAAAGTCAATGGGGAAACCAGATTCACTTAACAGCCCTGTTGCTTATTGAAGAACTGCAGTGATTCACTTAACAAAGTAAGTATTTCTAGCAGGACTACTAGATTCTGTAACAACTTTATTCCTTATCACATCTGTCTGGTAAACTCGCAGTATTTTTTTTCTTGCCATGTACATGTATATAACTGAACTGGACTGTATTGGAACATTGCTATCATGTCTCCCCTAGTCCTTCTTTTCATTAAACTAGACATACCCAATTCCAGCAACCGTTCTTTATATGTCCCTTAATCATCTTTGTTACTCTTCTCTGCACTCTTTCTAGAGTACCTTCAAAGTGACAATAAAGTTATTCTATTCCCATTTCATATGTGGCAGGGAAAGACGTAAAACGGAGCAAACTCACAACAAATTTCTCACTTAACAACCTAAATTTGGGGCTACATTACGGTCGTAGGTTGAGGACTCCCTGTATCTTTCTAGCATGCTTTCCTCTTTTCTCCTTTGATAACTTGAGCTTCCAGAGGCAGCTTTTCCAGTGTTTCACAAAAAAGGATGCCGGGGATGACACTCCTCTTACACGCAACACTTACATTTCGGTCACGCCTTAGAATTGCAGAAAACTAGCAGGGCGACCTTTCCGTGCCCGCTGCGCACATGGCCCCGGGTTCCCACGTTCCCCCAAACCCTCCCGGCCTCTCCCGCCTGGTCAGATGAGATGCAAAAGTACAAATTTGGAGGAGCCCCGCAACGCCTCCCTTCCCTCGCCCTGACTCTCCTCCGTCGTGGCGCCACGGTCGCCAGCTTTTCAATGCCCGCCCCTCCAGCATCGGGGCTCGACCCTGCAGAAGAAACCAAGCCACCTAAGTGAGGGGGAGGCTTCCTTCGCTTCTCCTCTTCACCTCCAGGCAGCCCCCCGCCCTTGCACACACCCAAGCCCTCCCTTAGCCCCCTTTCTCCCTTTAGGACCACCGCCCCAGATTTCCAGGGAAATTTCCTGCACTCACATGCCATATAGCGAAGAAGATAAGCGCAGCGGTGAGGAGCAGCGCCAGCATGTAGCAGAAAGCAGCGAACGTGAACGCCATGGCGGCGGGCAGCGGCGGCGATTGACACTAAGGAAGGCCGGCCCGACGGCGAGGCGCGCGGAAGTTTCTGGGCCGGATCATTCAGGGTGGCCGCAGAGGCCCCGGAGGGGGAATGACAGACGCTTTCGACGTCACTGCGCAAGCGCACACCGGAGAGAAGCCGCCGCCGCCTTCACAGACAGGAGTTCCGCGCCGCAGCGACTACTTCAGGACGGGGGCGGGACTGCAACGTGGCTCCTCCTTTCCCGACGCCGGGATGTTTGCTTTTCGCATCCCCGGGAAGTGGGTTTCACCCGTAAATAATAAGGGAGGCGGCGTCCAGCGCTCTGTTTCCGCTTCTTTCGCGGGATAGCAACGTAGTGGGAGGATGCATGGAAAGGAGAGCGTTTTTTTGCCGGGGGTTACTCCCGGGTGAACATCGGTTTCTGGACCGAGGAGAGTGTCACGTCCGTCTGCATTTGTGGCCGTTTGTATCACTTGCAGATCCCACCGCTAGGAATTAGCTGGCTCCGTTACAACTTGGGATCCTTTTGCCAACCCCAGGAAAAGGGCTTGTCCTGTGTTTGCCCAGATTCTTCAGTACGTTTTATTAGGAATGAGTTTATACCAGTCCTGGGTGGATGATTAAAGGTTGTTCCTTGGGGTTTGATTAAATTAAAAATCCAGCTCTTTAAAAATATTAAAATTGATTTTTTTTAAATATTTTATTAAATTAATTAAAAGAGAAGAGCAACAAAGATGATTAGGGGACTCAAGGATAAAATATATAAAATGGTTTCTGGAATTGGATATATCTAGTTTAATGAAAAGAAGGACTAGGGGAGACATGATAGCAGTGTTCCAATATCTCAGGGGTTGCCACAAAGAAGAGGGAGTTCAAGCTATTCTCCAAAGCACCTGAAGGTAGGACAAGAAGCAATGGGTGGAAACTAATCAAGGAGAGAAGCAACTTAGAACTAAGGAGAACTTTCCTGACAGAACAAATAATCAGTAGAACAACTTGCCTCCAGAAGTTGTGAATGCTCCAACACTGGAAGTTTTTAAGAAGAGATTAGACAACCATTTGTCTGAAGGTCCCTTCCAACTCTGTTACTCTTAATTGTATCATTGACATTTATGAGTACATGAAATAGGTGTGTTAATTTCTTGAAAGCATGTACTTTTTTTCCAGAATTTAGAATTTATCTGGACAATTCATTTTATTTTTACTTTTCATTGTTACTTTCCCCCATTTTTATGCTTGGGTGAGGAGTAAACTCCCATAACTCCAGATTTTAGGTAGCAAAGGTGAGACCCTTTTGCTGTGGATGACTTCTTACCTAACCAGCATGTCTTGATACTGCAAACGCTGGGTAAACTTCACTTTGTCTCAATCTGTCTCTCCTCACTCCCGCCCCCACTCATCCCACTTTAAATCCTGTATCATTTAGCTGTTGCATGCATCTGATGAAATGAGCTGCAGCTCACGAAAAGTCATGCTTGTGAATAGCTGTTATTAATTGGAAAGAGTGATTTGGGGCTATTGTAGATTAACGGGGCTCTTCTACAATTTTGACATTGGAGTGTGTGTCTGTAGAGATTCTCAGTCATCCAGGTCATGCTTGTCCCAAAGGTGGTTTTTTCAGGAGGCAATTGGACTTTCTTGCTTTTTCTTTTGAAGACATTTCGCTTCTCATCCAAGAAGGTTCTTCAGCTCTGACAGGATAGTGGGGAACAGAAGGATTTATATTCCTTGCAGACAGTTGATTATTTGCATCCTTTTAGAGGATTGTTGAAGCACTTGGAAGTTTATCTGTGTCTTCGGGGGTCACCCGAGTATTGCTCCTGGTTCCTGTATTCTACAATTTTTCCTCTAGAAATCCATTCCTACTCCCAGACCATTCAAAGGATGTTAGAATTTAGAATTTACTTTATTTGTATGCCGCCCTTTTCCCTGAAAGGGACTCAGGGCGGCTCACAATTCAAGGGAAGGGAAAAAAACAAACAAAATTACAAANAGAGGAAAGTCAACTATATGGAAGTGTAAAGTGGCCCAATTCTTTACAGTAGTAGTAGTAGTAGTAGTAGTAGTAGTAGTAGTAGTAGTAGTAGTAGTAATAGTAGTAATAGTAGTAATAGTAGTAGTTGTTGTTGTTGTTGTTGTTGTCATTGCAATTAAATGCCATCTTCAGTGTACATTATACATAAGAAAACTATAAAACATCCTTCAAATTCTGTGCAATTTGAACTGAAAACTGAAATATTCTATTAATATTGCACTATACTATACTGAAAGCTGGCGCTCAAAAATACTTTGAATGTGCATCAGCCTCTTGAAGGAGCAATAGCCCAGGAAAGAAGGAATGCACTAAGTTGCCCACAAAATCTCTGTTGGGATACACCATGTTCCTGAAGCAGAAAAAGAAACACACAGCTGGAAAGGAAGGGTGAATGAAACAGTTGTAGTTATTTTATGATTTCTCTGTTCTCTAGATCAGGTCCGTGAAACTCTCAGCCCACGGACCAGATGCATCACGCACTGGCCACGCCCACACCCAGTTTAGCAAAGGAAATCCCAATATGTCACGTGATGCCACCATGACAACGTGAGCTTGACACCCCTGCTCTAGATCAATGTTTTTGCTCAGAGAGCACTCCAAGGACATTGGGCTACTTGCATCCCAGAACCATTATTTGCCACCTATGGCTACAGGAAGCCAAATAAAATATCAATTTGCATAGTTAAAGATCAACATTCACCAGCCAAATCTCTAATGAGCATAGAGCTGCATATGAAGCCCTCCTGTAGAAAAGCGATACCAGAAAGATTATATAGTACATGCTACAAAGTTCAGATTACCAAATTTGGTAAATACCAGATTATGCACATCCTGCAAATATCAGAATTGAATTGACAGACTCTTTAGGGGCAAGAGGGAATACATCAACTACACAACAAATGCATCCAAGATTTGTTTCAGTTTTACCTTTGTGAGTTCTGCTGTTTGTACTAATTTATTTTTGCTGCCAGCATACATCATCTGTTGCTCAGGCTTACACCCTATAATTGTAAAATGGGAGGAAGGCAAGCAGAGACAAATAAAACCACATTAGTCAGTCTATTTAGCTATTTGTTCTCAGTTCTTACTGCATATGCAAGAAACAACTGGTCTTTTCCTTATCCTACTGGCTGCTTTAAAATTAACATAACAACTTCCCCAAACTAATGATTTCCAGATGTATCAGATCAATTCTCACAACAGACTGGCTAGAAACTAGGAGGGGTTGAAGCCCTCCAACACATCTCGAAAACATCAGCTTGAAGAAAATTTGATTAGATAATTCTGCACACCAAGAAAGATTCAGTTAGCAGTAGCAGTAGTTATTTGTTAAAAGAAGTGCTTGGAAAATATTGAAATATTCTGCTTTTTGCCCCCTGAATATGCTTATACTTTACAGTCTTTATCTAAAAGTATTACAAGTACTATATTGGTGGGCATTAGATCAGAACTTATTCTGTGGCAGCACCCTTAGTTTGGGGTTTTAAGTCTTAAGAAATGTTGGTTTAGTTTAATTTAGTTTAGTTTAATGCTTTAGTTTAAGGGCTGGTGTTTTTATTTCTGCTTATTGAAGGTAATATATATCTGCGCTTGAAGGTTGAAAAGCATTCTATAGATGTTTGAATACATGCTTATAAAAGAAACCAAAATCCACAACTTCATATTCTATAGATATTTGCGGTTATGACTTCCATAATCTTTTAATAGCAGGGGCTATAGGAGGGTACCAGGTTGCCTAGCACTCTACCCACATATAAATGAAATCTGATCAACCATTTACTTATTTCACTATCCTCTTTGAGCTTGTAAAAAGATATTTACTGAAGACATCAGCTGCCAATTCTATTCATGTACATAAAAAGCATTCAACACGGAACATATGTTCCACAGTCTATACCAGCTTGTCAGATTGGAAACATATAATAAGCATCCACCAAATGTTCTAAAAATCACTTTAAGTGTTTACACACATTACTGAGTGATTCTTATTATTTACATTACAGCAGACCATTATTAGCCCTGTGCTGAAGAGATGGTAATTTAAGATGTGAGGAAATATATCTTAAGTAACTAGTTTAGTATATTAACCCTTAACATTCATACAGAGGGTTCACCCTGTTAATTTGACATACCAGCCCTTAACATAATACACACTCAGTGTTCACACATTGCCTTGTAAGCCAGAATGTGCATCATGATGACATTATACAAATGACGCAAAATTATATTTCCACTATGTCATCATAATGTATGTGCATTATTTGGGTACTACAGATGCCAATGGTGCTAAGCTATTGTTGTATTTATAAAGGTTCTCAGATAATACTAAGTCATCTCCATGACTTACAATCAACAACCACTTGCTTCACAAAATATATTAAACCAAACTAAACAAAACCCATTATGGCTTAGTGAAGGTCATCTGCCACAGTACAATGTTGCAGTCCTATCCAACTTGTGCGCTTTTCAACTTCTTCCTTAAGAGTTTGAGGTGTTGATATTCTTCTACAAGATCTTGTAAAACCTCTTGCAAGGATTCCAAAATTCCAAAGACTGGAAAAAATCTAATATAGGTCATGTGTGTAGAGTGCTAGGCTAGATTTTTTCCCCCAGTCTTTTTGGAATCAGGGAATGGGAAATTCCCTTACATTTCAAAATCCAATTGCTATCAAAAGTTATTCATCAACTGAATGTAGAATGAAGTGCAAAATTGCTGAAGTCTTTACAAATTTCATTAAAGAAGCCTCTAAATTTTTTTCTGCAGTCCTGGTGAGACTGAAACCAACTCCATCCCCATTAGTTAATAAAATTAATTGTTACCAAGATCTATAACCATTCGGTGTGTTTTCACTCCCTTTTCTGATAGCCCGTCACTTGTTGATCTCTATAGAGACAACTTAAGTTGGGCTATAAAATATGTGAAGCGGTATATAAGTCCATGTGCTGTTGCTATAGACTGCTTGTCCTATTGTTCCTACAATTATTATTGAGGTAGCCTTCAGCACTGTTCATCTTCTGCATTTGTTGACCCAACACAAAGGCCCTTATAATGACACTCAGAAGCCAAACAACAACTTTTCCTAGCTAGGCAAAATGAAAATCTTTAACACATCCTTAAGTACTTTTTATCTTGGATAGCAGCCATCTTTTTATTTCTACTGAAGACAGTTTGCACAATTAGTTCACTGGAGTTTCACTTACCAACCGGACTTGAGAAGATAAAGCAGAGTGGGTAAGAGACTCGCCCATCATCATGCTGGTACTTGTAGCTATAGACAATGAATGTGTTCTAAAGGTAAGGAAACTAGGGAACTTAAGTGTGGTTTGTGGAATATTCCACAGTTCACATGCACCCTAAACTAAAAACCAAATAAACTATAGTCTGCTTTGAAGCAATGCATGAACCCAGTATGGAAATAAAGCTCTTTCGCCTACTATAAATCTCTTCCCTGGAAAGAGGAGAAGGAGAGAGGAAGGGGAAGTAGAGAAGAGAGAGATGGCCGAGGGAAGAAAGGAGGTAGGGAGGAGGAGAGAGAGAGAGAGAGAAGGTAGTGTCCCAGTGGAACATGGTATAATACAGTGTATGGAAAGCAGAAGAGCAAATGAGCATTATTGTGGGTAGATGGTGAGAATAATTGATATAATATTGGATAATACATAATAGTGTTTGTTAAGATGTAATGGTATACTTGTGGATATTTATATGAAAATAAAAATAAAAAAACTTTGGAAATCTCTTCCCTTCCTGGATACTTATGCCAGAAGTGAATTTCTAATAAAGCTCTGCACACCTTCATTAATGAGTTGGGCATCAAAAAATGACAGCGGAGTCTTGTTTCTATGTACCAAAACATTACTTTGATCACTGATAAAGGATATCGAGGTTGTCTTTCTGGAAGTTCATCTTTTAGTTCATCTGGAGATATGCCCTGTAAGAGTCACAACAACTACTAGTATTTTAGCAATGTACTTTATAGCCAAGATGCAATACATTATTACAGCCTTCACTTGTTTTAAAACTGTATTTATAGTCAATACCAGCACTTAAAAAAAACAGATTATAATGATCTGTTAGTTTAGCATAAGAACATCCTTTTATTTTTCTTTGGCTGGATACATATATAAATAGATATAAATAACGTACCTATTGAAACCATGTTTAGCAAAAAAACAAAATGTTTATTATATATTGAAGCTTGGCAAAACAAAAAGCTACTTCTGCCTCTTCCACAGACATACCTCGTGTTCTTCATCCAGAACCACCAGCTGTTTCTCTTTGTCAATCTTCACTATACAATAAAAAGAAGGAAACAAAAATGTTAATTTAAATTATGCTATGGGGGGGGGATTATTGTCATTCACTTAGATGCCTTTTTTATTGGTTGCTTTTTTCTTTCACATGAACTAAATGCAACAAGACCATTAGACAAACTATTTCCAAATACAGGTAGTCCTTCACTTATAACAGTTCACTTATTGACCGTTCAAAGTTACAACAGCACTGAAAAAAAGTTACTTATGACCATTTTTCACACTTATGACCGTGGCAGATTTACCTGTGGTCATGTGGTTTATCTTTGCCTCCTTGACAATGGACTCACATTTATGACGTTTGCAAAGCCCTGGGGTGATGTGATCACTTTTTGCTACTTTCTGACAAGCAAAGTCAATGGGGGAAGCCAGATTCACTCAACAACCGTGTTATCAACTTAACAACTGCAGTGATTTACTTAACAAATGTGGCAAGGAAATTGGTGGCAAAACTTACTTAACAAATTTCTCAATTAGCAACATAAATTTTGGGCTCAACTGTGGTCATAAGTTGTAGTCATCAGGCTGTGCTGGCTTTTATCACGAGCAGGCTAGTTCAGTCATCAAATTTAGCCAAAGGAGCACTATGCCTGGTCCTTGCTCATCTAATTTGTCTCATCTAAAATGCCTCTCAGCATTTTCCAGGGAAGTTGAGACCCAGATTTATTGAACCATTTATTAGTTAAAATCCATAAAGATTCAAGGCACCAATTTCTCCATTAAACATTCCAATCCTCGTCCTACAAACATTGGAATAGGAAGGAATGTTAGATATGTACACTACTTTAACTTATTTATAAAAACAATAATGGTGGGATTAAAAAAAAATCTAGTATCTAAATAAGGGGTGTCAAACTAGCGGCCCATGGGCCGGATGCATTACACGCAGGCCATGCCCGCCCCAGCTCTGCGAAGGGAAAAACATCGCGAAATGCCATGAGTGGTCTAAATCAATGGTCACCAACTGGTGATCCATGAGAAAATGTTGGTGGTCCGCAGAAAAATTATTTGCATTTTTTATATTGCACCAAATTCTATTTATCTTTTTTCAAATCCTGTATATGTAGTTTGGCTTAGGTTTTGTCCATTTTGTTAATCGCACCATTGTCATTCACAAATGCTAAAAACATCTGTATCACCCTCTTAAACTTCTGAAATCCCTTCTGAAAACAGGCTTTGAGTCTGGCCAATTTTGAAATGTGGCCTTTGATATGTTGCATAAAGCTGATGTGGTCCTGGAGCCAACAGAAGTCTCACATTCCCCACTGGATGCCAACCACAATTAACCTACTTGTATGCCAAAGTCTGCACTCTTTGGAATTTTGCAACACAGACTGTACATGTAACTCAAATACAACTAAAACAATGGAAATGCTACACAGGAAATATGGATTTTATGTGATTTTGTTTGCACAAAACAAAAGCACACTGTACTCAAACAAATGCTCCTAGATTTCAAAGACTTAATGGCATTTTAAAACATGTGTGTATGTATATACATGCACACTTTTTAAAAAGCCTTTAAGTATTGGAAGCAAATCTAAGAGCTTGCATGCATGTGTGCGCACGCACACACACACACATACACACACACATTCAGAAACAAAAATCCAAGTTAATTTCCGCCAGAGTAGAGAACATGAGTCTGTATTATTTCCCCTTATGAGTGTTGTGAGCCCTCCCTTTCAGCTTACTGATAATGGCTGCATTGTTCGTGTCTTTACGAAAACGAAATTTTCTCAGCTTCTCTATAAGGTCTTCAGCAACATCACAAACCACTAGGGATTCACTCTAAAGAGAAGAGGGGTAGGGAGTGAAAGAGAAAAAAAAGGCACAGATCAACAAAAAGTCTCTTTATTCCAGCCATAGATATCACTCCAATCCTCAACTGCTGGAGATGCAGTGTGTGTGTGTGTGTGGTGTGTGTGTGTGTGTGGTGTGTGTGTTTGTGTGTGTGTGTGTGTGTTAGTTAGTTAGTTAGTTAGTTAGTTATAAGAAACCCAATATTTTTTACTGTTGCCTTTTTGTTACATTTGTTATATTTGTGCTGATAAATAAATAAAAGGAGACTAGTATAGATCTATTTCAAGCTATTTAGCTCTCATCAGCTAGCCATACCCTTGCTGGGAATCGAACCTGTGCTCTATTGCCTCTTAGGCAGTTATCAGCACAAATACAACACACCCACACCCACACCCACACACCCACACACATATATATATAGGGTGAAAGGTATATATTTAACAAAAAGGCAACAGTAAAAAATATTGGGTTTCTGTCTGGATGGTCTCTTGTGGCGAGCCGAAGGACACCCATTATATATATATATATAATGG